CCACGGCCCCCCGAAAACTCTTCCCTGCGCTTCTCTCCTCCCAGGACAGCCCAGGAGGCAGACCCGGGTCACGCCCACCACTGCAGCCCAGCACCCAGCAGGGAAACCGGCGCGCAGTAGGTACTCAAACACGCTTGCAGAAGGCACTGGGGGGAAGAAGCGAGGACAAAGTAACAGAGGTCTGCGAAGTAGAAACAGCTTATCAGGAGTGACCTGGACGCACCCCGTCTGCCTTACCTGTCTGCAGACAGAGAGGACCCTGGCTCACTCGCACCAAGTGGGGTCACCAGGACACGGAGGCCCGAGGCGGCGGGAGGCCGGGGCCCCTCCGGGGCTCTTGCCCTCATGCCCCTCCACCTCTGAGCACCCAGCAGGCAGAAGTCACATGCACTTGGGTAGAAGAAGAACCCCAGGCTTTCTGAAAGAAAGCTGGAGCTAATCCCTCCGAAGGCTGAGGCAGCGTGTCACCTGCTAGACTGTGTGACAAGGAAAGCCACTGTCACATGCCCTGGACTCGCTGAAATCAGAGAGAAAGCCCTCGGCACTCTGCGTCTGCTGGGTCAGCACTCAGAAACTGGAGAAAACAGATTTGGAAGCATCCAGAGGGTATTAAATATTCATCCTGACTGCCCATCAGTGAAATCCCAGCAGAATACATCCCCTGACAAGTCGGCTTTCTAGACAGGGGCCGTCCTCCTGGAGGCCTGTTTATTGCTTTGTCAATTTTCCTGTGCAATATTTAGTAGCCAGGCCAAGGTGTGGTCGTAAGCCTCGGAGAACGGTGCTCACATGGCCCCACTGCTTCTGTATTTAGGAATATGTACTCGGACACTGCTTTGGTGCTAAAGAAAATCAGAAGGAAGCAAAATGTTGCTTCAAAATTCAAAGAGATAAGAATTAAGAGGTAAGAATTGACTATGTGGAACTGGCTTACAATCTTGCCTAAATGGCCCTGGGGTCCCCCTCTGCCATCCATGGGAATAAGGCTGAGCCGCAGCCACAACAGAATGGGGATGACGGGGTTCCCCGAAGGTTTCCGCAGGGCTGTGCACGCCGACTTGGAAGCGCGCACGGAGAATGGTCGATAATGCATCCACCATAGATGGATGGTGCCATCCAGCCAGAGAGTTCGATGAATGGAAGACCTGCAGTGTGGTCAGGTGGGCAGGTGGCCCTGGCCAGGGCTGGCCTGGGGCACAGACCACATGGGGCCTTCTGGGCAGCTGGTGACAGCGGCAGTGGGAGGCGGATGAATGGGCCAGTGAGCAGGCAGTCCTCAGTTTCTATTGGACTGTTAGAACGAGAGTATTCAGCAAAATATTCTAAAAACGGGATGCGGGACAGGCAGTGGGGGACTGTCCCACAGGAGACACCAGAGGAGGGACAAGAAGCCATGTTTTGAGGGGCAAAGTGTGGAGGGGGAGGAGAAAGAAGAGAAGCCAGCCCTGGCTTTGAGCTACGGTGTCCCCAGGTCTGAGAGCCACCTTGTGGCAGAAATTAGAAGTGGTGGCGTTAGAGGAGGCACCAGTTAAACTCCTACCCTGTTGTCAGACTGTGTTTTCAGGAACCTCTATGGGTACCTTGTGACCCCAACTTAAAAAAAACAAATTTAAGTGTTTGCTAAAGGAGATCAGGAAGTCAGGGATGGTGAACCAGACAGAATAGAAATTGAAGAAAAGTCCATGGTACCAAGGAACATGGCTCCTTCCTGAGGGGAAAATAAATAACTGTCTAGAAAACACCATAATACTGTCTAATAAAATTAAGAGCTTGGACTCCGGAGCCAGACTGCCAGACAGGCAGTCTGGCTCTGACTCTCGTCTCTGCCTCTTCCTGTGGCTCATCGGATAATTTATTTAACGTTCCTGTCAATGTTTCCATCTCTGAAATGGGTGAGACAGCGCCGCCCCCCCCCCCCCCAGGCACTGCACGGGTGAGTGAGAACTAAGTAAGTTCTTACTTGCACAGCATTCGCAGTCCCCGTGGGCACACAGGAAATGCTGAACGAGTACTACTGCGTCGCTGTTACTATCACGGCCACCAGGGACTCCCCCCATCAGTCATCCACAAAGAGTGATCTCTTGCGCTGGCCAGATATGCCACGGTTGTGGGTTTGATCCCCAGTCACGGCACATACAAGAATCAATCAACGAATGCGTCAATAAGTAGAACAACAAATCAATGTTTTTCTCTCCCTCCCTTTCTCTTTCTCTCTGAAATCAATACATTTTTTAAAAATTGAAGAAGAGTGGCCTCTTCTATCAGTGAGATTGCTAATGGATGCAGGGGAATAATTTTTGATGACATGGCTTAAAAAGAGTCAAAGTCCTCAACCGCTTTTTAATAAGGCGCACCCACCTTCAAATCCCAACTTCCAACTCACTGCTTTTCCGACTTAGGCCTGAACTTCCTGAGCCCGAGTCACTCCATTTACGAAACAGCGAAGCTGCCAGGCCCTGCGCCCAGGCCCGCAGGGAAGATGAAGAGAGATCACCCCCCACAGAACTCGTCCAACACGGTCCGGGCACAGCGCCAGCAGTATTCTTCCACCTCTGTGTCCCCCAAATAAAAGCTCCTGTACCAACCAGAGTGTGTGGGAAACAGCAACAACGAACATGAAGCTCTTTGGAAAATATTAAGTGCTAAAGCATCAATATTTAATCAAGGAGAGACAGTAACACTTAAGGGATGCACTCTCCGGGTGCCTCGGCCCCTCCCTGGAGGGCGCGGCCTCAGCTCAAGTGCATTACTGGGCACTGCTGGGTGCAGGCCTCCCAAGGAGCCGCCCGGCAGGACTGCACCGCAGATCCTTCCTGTGCAGTGAAGACACAGAGCGGCCAACTCGGCCTGAGCCACACCGGACACAGAGCAGGTCCTCACTCTCCAGCTGCCTTTTCCACGCAGGAGGCAATACGATGGGCTAATGGGAACTGGAGACATGGGGACGTCTGAGAGACCTGGGCTCCCACCTCGGGTCCGGGGCCAGGCTCCCACCCACCGAGCTGGCTTGCCACTGTCAAGGTCACCAAACACCTGGGGAAATTTCCAAACACCAGTGGAAATACAAAGGTCTCCGTCACCTCACAGGTGGACGAGTTGAAAGAGAAAACATAAGCACCGAGCACAAAGCCTGGCCCCTCGGGGCACCGAACGCGTTTCTGTTCCTTGTCTTTCCCAGTACGCCACCAACTGATCAGAATCGAAACAACTTGAACCTTCCATAAATTAATTCCTCATTGTTCCCTGACGAGCTCCAGTCCTAGATTCCAAGAAGCCACAGAAACAAGAAATATTAGAGATTATTGCAAAAAAGGCAATGCCAGGCAAGGTCCGGGGGTCGGCGCTTCCTCTGCCTTCTAGGGCTGCAGCGCCACGCGACAGGCGCCACTGCTCACTGCGCCGACCTTGAGGGCGGGAGGAGGCCACAACAGGTGCAATGACGACCTTGAAGTTCTACTCAGGAAGGCTCGCAAGTGCGTCCCTGGGCACTTCCTGCCACGAGGGCTCCCAGGAAATGAGGTCTCCGTCTAGCTCTCCGTTACCCTGGAAATCCGCTGAAGCAGAACGGCTCTTCCCGAGCATCCTGTCGTCCAGGTTTAGACTCTAACTGGCTAAGGAACGGTCCCCTTTACTTACACAGCTTGATTGTCCCAGACTCTGGGACAGAGGAGGACTCCTTAGGGGGACAGAAGAGGCGAAGGGTGGACTGGGACGTGCCCACCCTCTACCCTGGCACTGCTGAAAACAACAATGACCGTCTGAAGCTGGGCTGGACGCTGACCATGGGTGGGCGCGTAAAGAAGACGCCTTTTCGCGCGGTGTTGAAGCCATCTTCGCAAAGTGGGTGTGTCAGAGTCAGGAAAAAGTCTCGCAAAGCTGCTTCCTGTCCAACCCACTCTGTCCACCATGTGGGTGGACGCCTGCACTCTCCTGTTCCAGGGCCGGGGCGGGGGTGGGGGGAGGGGACCAGGGCCTGGGCCCCCCTCGCCAGGCTCCCAACGGAGCAGCAGGGCAGGCAGACCCGAGGAAGCCACGGTGGCGACACGCACCTGCCCACTCCCATGTTAGGGGAAGGGCCTGCGGAAGGTGAGAGTATGTGCAGAAACCACCCCCCCACTGGGCTCCCCAAGTTAGTGCCTCCTCACCAGCTGCTGTAAGAGGCACCCCGCCCCATGGGAAAAGGAAGCTCCAACCTGGCACACAAGGACAGGGCTGGGCCAGGAAACCAGCACAGGAAAGGCAGCGAGGGCTCAAACCCCAGCTCCACCTCTCATCGGCTTTGTGACACTGTGCCAGCCGGCCTTTCCTGGTGACAGCAAAATTCTAGTGAAATGACCACCCTCGGCACCTAGCACAAAGCGGAGTCTCAGTATGGGACCAAGTTAGGGGACCTCGGCGAGGTCCCCCTTCCCTCTCCCCTCCGAGGGTCCTGCTTGCACACTGTGGACAACGGTACCCTGTTCGCGTCAATATTGCAGGGGTTATAGGAGACGACATTGAGACAGAGCTTCTTGCAAAACAGTCGGTCTGGACACTTTCCCAAATGCCGGTGCCTCAGAACACACACCCAGCCAGGGAGCTGCTCTGGGTTAAGGAAATCTGAGTGGACGGACTGGATTTGTTTGGAAAGGAAAGAGATGACATGAGGCATTTGGGACAATTGGGAAACAGTCAGCGATGCCCTGCAATCGTCAGTGGCCTTGTTCTTAGGAGACCACTCAAGTGTCCAGGAGGGAGTGCCCCGATGTCACCGACGTGTCCTCGGATGTTTCCAAAACAACAGTGACTAAGTAACCCCAGAAAACAAACGGGAGACGTTAGCAACTGGCCACGAAGAAAAGGAAAAACAATTCTGTCAACTTCCCACAGGTTTGAATTCCTCCACATCAGACGTCGGGAAGCCGCAGCGGCCACGCCGAGGGCTCAGTGTGTGTGTGTGTGTGTGTGTGCACCTGCCGCTCCCTCCCCGCCTGTCGCGTCGCCCGGCGCAAGCCGCTCACCTGGCTGCAGCACCCGGATCTCCAGCAGGTTGGAGGTCCTCTCGGCCAGCCGCGTCCAGGAGCTGTTGTAGTTCTGCCGCCACAGCTCCGCCACACACTGGTACTTGCCCGCCTCCGTGTCACTGGCTCGGCTGATGCTCAGGCGGACGTTGTTGCTGGACTCGGCCTTCTCGATGGCCGTTCGGGTTCGGAAGCTGGAGGACCTGTCCCCCCACTGAACCCCTCCGTCCCGGGTGAAGGTCACCAGGTCATGGAACTCGACGGTGCCCACCGGCTGGAACCGCCAGGTCACCGACACGGGGACCCGGGCTGGGTAGTGGGGCTTGATGATGCACTGCAGGTCGAAGGAGTCACTGTAGGTCACGCCCGGCGTGCGGGAGATGGCCGTGACCGCGAAGCCCGTTTCTGGAGAGAGAGCAGAGGGGCTCAAGCCAGGGGAGTCACTTGGCTTCCTCAGGGCGGTGCAGCGTGGCGAGGGGGCCCCTGGCAAGAGCTGGTGGGTAGAGCAAAGGCTCGGGGATCCGTTCTAGTGCCCAGGCCAGGACCCCACAGCAGGAGGCCGGGCAGTCCTTCCCGGGCAGCACTGCCAACCCCTCCCTGATGGAAGCCTCCCAATGGCCTCACGATGGCCGTTTGGGTCCGGAAGCTGGAGGGCCCGTATCGATTCGCAGTCCCTCAGTTCCTTTGGCAGAACCACTCCTAGAAATCTCGGGATTCTGGGCTAATGCAGGACAAAAAAGCCCCAAAGCTGTTCCCTTCATCCCCTGCAGAATGACCGCATCACCCCAGCCCCAAGGCCTCCTCTGCCTGGCCCACCGGTGCATCAGTTCTGGAGAAGGGGGACAGGACAGGTGGAGGGGGTGTCCCGTGTCACCTCCCCTCCCACTTTCCTTGTGCAATCCGGGGAAGCGGGGCAGTGAGGGGCCCACAGCAGGAGGCAGAGATCTCCAGCGGGTGGGGCCTGGGCGGGCTGAGCCTCTCCACGTTCCCCACAGAACGAGAAACAGCCTGGCCCTCAGTATGGGCCCTGAACTACACCCCCTCCGGCCTTGAACTACACCTTCACGTGCACACAGTGGCGATGACCACACAGCCGAGTGGTCACTATTTACCAGGCACCGTCATTGTGCCAGGAGTGGTGCCAACTGCTCTGCTTCGCCAACACGTCACTGAACCCTCGGAACGACCTCGGGGACGGGCAGGCCAATCACCCCTCTTTACAGGTGAGGACACTGAGGCACAGAGCGGTTCACTAAGTTGCCCACTGTTGGGCCGCCCATTGTACCAGCAGCGTCAGGCTACACATCTGCTGATTCCAGGGACCTGATCAGGCTGTGTGTCCCGTGGGAAGCCTGAGGCAAGGGTTAAAGGCGTAGACCTCGGAGCCGCTGCCCAACTCTAACCCTTCCTAGCTGTGTGACACTGAGCAGGTTACTTAACTTCTCTCTGCCTCCATTCCCCTATCTGTAAAATGGGCCCATGCCAAGATTAGAGGAGTTTGCATTTGTAAAAGACTTGGGATAGTTCCTGACACACAATATAAATGACATTTAAACAAATATATACTTCACTGAGCACAGAGCTTAGTGCACAGAGCCATAAAGGAAAGGACTTTGAATTCTGGAGCTGAAAGACTCCAGACAGAAGGAACCTATCGGCTTTATGTGGGGAGGCTGAGTCAGCAAACAGGAAGGCATGACTTGCTAAAGGCTATGGGTCTTCCATTTAGATTTCACGAGCTGTCTTTATGTTTCCCAGTTTTTAAAAAGATAATGTACAGAGGCCCGCCCTCAAACAGGAAACGCTGAGATGGTCACTTGTGCCCTGTGGGCAGAATACGCTGTCCCAAGGATGGTGGGGCACAGGGCCTCGACTCCCAGAGGGGAGGGGGCGTCTGACTGTCCTGGCCCGGCACGGGCACACGGCACGGTCACAGCTCACGGAGCGCCCGAGTTGTCCTAAGTGAACAGGCCTGTGGCCCAGGTGTGGCTGGAGACTGTATCTACCTAATACTTCCCCTGGGCACCGGTCCCGTCACCTCCCTGTGGAGAGGGGACCCATTTCTCGGTTGCACGGATATGAAAATCTGTGTGCCACTGTTTACTGTAGGCTGAAAAGGTGACCTCACTCCAGGGTGACCTCCTGTTTTCTCCCATTCCACGCCCTTGGGCCACTACGGTGATGGCTCTGGCCAGAAGTGCCCCATGGGGGGAGTCCAGGTGAGCAGGACCAGCCCCCGGGATCCCAGGGCCCCTGGCCGTGGGAACTACGTGTCGAGTACGAAAACATTCAGGGGATAACCTGAAACCATGAAATCACTTCCCGAGAAATGGTCCCAACCACCTCTAACCACCGCTCAGAAATCCCTAACCTCACAGGGTGGGAAACGACCCCTTTCCTGCCAGGTCCCACTTCCATGGGGACACGCAGGGACTGAGCTGATCAGGAAACGCCACACTGGGTGAAGCTTCTAGAGACAGAAATCTGAACTGTGTGGTTACTGCAGAAAGCAGGTCCATCTTGGGGATTAAGCTTTTTAGGAGGTAAATGCCATTCCAGGCTGGGGGTCTTGTGGCAATGGAGGTCTCTGTGGGGGGCAAAAACCACTCAGGGCTGTGGCCAGTTTAACAGCAAAAGCAGCCCCACCCTTGGGGAAGGAGGGGACATGGTCCCAAGGAGGGAACACAAAGTCACGAGGACAAGTGACGTCAGAGTCTCCCGAGGAGCAGAAGGCCTAACAGGACGAGATACCTTCCCAGCGGAAGATCAGGTACCTTTTAGAATGTAACACACTGACTGCATTAGGCAGATACACGTTGATGGAGCCTCTTTAAGTACCCCCTGAGAAACAAATCTAATATTCTTCGGTTTTAGCAAATCTCAAGGTATCTTTAATTTCCTGCTAACGAGGAGATAGCTTTCTTAAGGAGGGGCCTTAGAGAGAAGAACAACAAAACACGGGCTTTGAAAAAAAAATTAAGACAGATTGCTGGTTCCTGGGTCCGAGCTGTGGGTCTGTTATTTAAAAGCTGCAGCCCCAAGCAGGTGAGCTTATGGGCCTCACTCGGTGTCCTGTAAAGTGAAAGGCCTACCTCTCGGCTAGGTGCTCAGTCTCAGCCAGGAACATGGTGAACGCTAAGTAAATGGCTACAGGTGATCCTCTACCCCTTCCTGCCCCGCTCTGAGCTTCTCAGGAGGGTTCCTCCCCGGGCAGCAGGCAGGAGACCCCGGAGGGGCAGGAGAGAGCAGCTTTGTGGCTTTGTTTCTGCCCTTCAGGCCGGTTGTGAAGACGGCCGCTTTCCACAACCCGGGCTGCCATTTCCGGCTGAGTGGCCTCCCTCCTCTGGCCAGACTTCTTCTACCTTCACTCCCACCCCGCAGACCCATGGGTGCTAACAGCTCCCAGTGTCAGGGGTCTCCAGGGGCCCACCACGCCCTGCTGGCTCCTTCAACCTCGCCCGCACTTCCATAGAGCGTTCCTTCCAGTAACCCTTTGAAGATGCCTCTATTTCCTGGCGGGACTCTGAGTGACAAAAGTCAGGGTGAGGTTCTTGACTTGGGAGCAGCCTCCCCAGCAGTCCCGGTGAAAGACTCGGACATTTACTTACCGAGAGCCGTGATGGAGATGGGGGTGCTGGCCCGACGCTCCCCCACGACCTGCCACTCGCCGTCCACTGCCCGCACCCACTCGGTCACGTGGCATTCGTACTGGCCCTCGTCCTCCTTCCTGCTGTTGAAGATGCCCAGGCTAAAGGAGTTGGGCTGCACCTGCTCCATCTGGACGCCCCCGAAGCTGCTGCGCTCCCAGTAGGATGCGCCTGGCTGCATGGTGCCATCCCGGTCCAGCCACATGATGTTGCTGCGCCGGTTCAGCCTGTCCACCAGCTGCCAGATGACAGAGAAGCGGCCCTGCGGCCTGCCCGCCGTGCGGATGCCACAGGAGAAGCGCAGGTTCTCGCCCTCTAGGACCACGCTGGCGTTGCTGGCCACCTCCACGGAAATGCTGCTCTCTGGAGACAGGGAGAGAGCACACGCTGGGGCCGTCGGGTCTCTAGGGTGCCCTCCCCACCAACACAGAAGGTAAAAGGGGGGTGGGGGCCAACGCCACCCTCAGGTGCAGTGAGCCTTGGTGGATGAAGCACTGGCCCTGGTCAGGGTCGCCCTGTGGGTTCTGGGCACTGCCCCCCTGAGCCTGGCTCTGATGACCTAGGAGGCCCCGTGCAGGGCACAGAGGACAAGGATGCTGAGCGTCTGAGGCTGGGGCTGAATCAGAACCTGAGTGATGGATTCAGCACAGCGCAGCGGTGCTGGGGGCACAGAGCAATTAACCCATCAGGTGATCTGCTCAGTGGGGCTCAAGGGTTTTCAACTTGGATTTGTATTAAGTTAAATCACTAAAAAACTCTACTCCCACCACTCAGTGTCACAGCCGTCAAATAAACGCTGACACCCAGAGCGTGCCATCTGAGTCCTTCGGGACAACATTAGGGAGCAGAAAACAAACGACAGGGAGTGTTTGGAAGACGTCGTGTGCTGGGGTGAGGACACTGTCGGGCACAGACCGTCTAGTTTCACAGGGGGTGTGGGGAACGAGCTTTCGCCCTTTCGTTAGCACCGAGGAACAGACCTAAGCCACTGGGGTCCCACTGCCCTTGACCTCGAAACACTGGGCCAGTCAACACTGGGGTGAAAATCCGACGGCCTTTGCTCCTCTGCCACCCACTCAGCCATGCAAACTCACTCAACCAAATTATTTAAACTCTACGTGCCTTTGTGCATAAAATGTGGAGTGTGTTATCTCGCATCATTTTTTAAAGATTAAAAAAATAGATGAGACATGTACACGAATCACCTGGAACATACTGAGTTTTCAAAAATTGGTCACCACGATCATGGCCAATTTTACCATTGCCAATAACTCTTTGCTTCTGTAAACATCACGGACATTCTAATCTATCTCAATCATGAGTAAAACATTGAGTAAAGTTATGTATTTTAAGTTCAAAAAGCCATACTAAGTACAAAAGAACCCAGGGTTCCATTATTGCGTGCACAGACACAATAATGTTGAATCAGTCGGTGAAATTAAAAGGAAAAAAAAGTGGCAAGAACCCAGTGGCAAGAACCCAGGGTTCATTATTGCGTCCACAGACACAATAATGTTGGATCAGTGGGTGAAATCAAGTCCCGACCAGAGGCACACCGATCACCGCGGGGCGGCACGCCCATGACCGCGCCCTGGACTCGGTCTTCTCCCCAGTGGCCCCCCACAGGCAGACACAGGTGCAGGTGAGCACGGGTCCCCTGCGTGAATTCTAGGTTTGGTGAGTACACCTGCTCCTCAGTCCGGATTGGCTTGTTTTATAAGGAAAAACAAACAAACAAAAAACCAAAAACGTCTGCACAAGGCGAAGGTTCCCAGGAGGGCAACCTCCAGAGCCGCGCCACGAGGGTTCATGGGGGCGATCAGGCTCCTGCTGAGCCGGCATCGATAGCGTCAGCAACTAAACACGAGGGTCTGGAGACCGCCTGGGCTCTAGGTCTGTGACCACGGGTTCCCACCTGACCCTAGCCAAGCTTTAAAGTCTCCTGTGCAAAGTGGAGATTGATACTAATACTACCTACCTCGCAGGGTCATGGCACTGAGGGGATGAGGTCATTGTTTTTCATCTCATCATTAACAGTAAAAATATTCCTCTTGAGATTAAAGACTCATCCCCAGTGTTATCAACTCTAAATGAGGAATTAAAAGGGTAACGAATCCTTCGCTGGCCTTAATCAGAGGAAGGACCTGCAGGGTGTCCCTCCCGCCCCCTACTGGCAGCCAGTGGGCTCTTGTGTAAGCCCTGGCTTGTTGTGGGGGCTGCTGTTTGGTGCTCTGTTGCTCTAGGAGACTGGAAAATGGCACCGTCAGAACGTGGGGCTGTGAGAAAACAAACCCTTCCAGCAGCCCAGGCAAAGGTGGACGTTGCCCGCTGAGGCTATTTACAAGTGTTCCTTGGGCTGAGAAGAGGCAGCTGACAATGTACAACACCCTGGGTTAAGTGCAAACCAGGAGAGAACTAAGGAGACTCTGAGTGTGTGTCCACGAAGGAGCTCTCAGATCAGGAGGTGGGGGATGTAGCACAGGCCAAGCGCAGAGCAGTGAACGTGGAGTTAGAAGCAAACATTTCTGATGCAACGCAAGCTCAGCCGCTGACGGAACTGGCTCGGCCGCGTCTCTGGACGGTGCTCTGGCTTCTTCCTTCACAGAACGGATATAATATTGGTCTCCACAGGGACTTGGAGGGGGGGGGAGAAGGAGCTGATAGATGCGGGAGCACTTCAGGCTCTCGGGAGGAAAAGTGCCATTAAAATCGAAGGTATTATCACCATTACCGATGTGATTGTGTTCTTTGGTAGACTTACCCAAGTGGCCTTGGGGCAGGATCTGGTGGTTCTGGGGGACTTTAACTACCCAGTCATCTGCTGGAAAAGCAATATAGCAGGCCACAGATCATCAAACAAGTTCTTGGAAGGGGTTGGGGGAAATCTCTTAGCACAAAAGATACAGGAAGTACACGGTGTGGCTGCCCTTCACTGGCTCCATACAAAACACTGAGGAATTAGTTGCAAGTTTAAAGCAGAGAGTCCCTGGTTAAAGCAGGCACTGCCAACAGGAAGACAGTCAAGAGAGTGGGCATTCAGTTCACAGTTTCCATTCCACGAATCTGCAGCAAGCACCACCCTATGTAGAGCACCATGCTGGGCATTGCAGGGGGAAAAGTCTAGTAAAGAGAATTTCAAGATAATTAGGTGTGTGTGTGTTTGTGTGTGTGTGATTTAAAAGAAAAAAGCATGAACAGAAAGTAATCCTATTGGTGAGAAAAGGAAAAAAAAGTGGCAAGAACCCTGTGTTTGTTTTCTCTCTTCGTTCTTGAACAGAACTATATAAAAAACGCAAGAGTGTAAATCAAAGTGAAAAAGGGAATCATGGCAATGGTAAGAGAAAGAACAGTTTGAGCAGCTGAGAAAAGGTTAATGGTTAGTTTGAAAACTTCACCATCTTGTTTAAACTCAGAGCATTGTAAGGTTTTTAATTCTCCTTTTACTAAAAATAGAACTGTGAGAGAAACGAGGTATTAATGAGAACGTCCTGGTTCTACGGATGATTAAACACAGGCAGACACCGGTTGTCAGTACCCCGAGGCCCGGCCGTGGCCGTGACCATGACCCACCCAGACAACGCCAGCTTCCACGGGAGCAGGGAGCCCACCTAAGCAGCCTGGGAAGCCAACTCGGCTTTAAAAGTCTTCCCGCAGGAAGATGGGAGACATCCGGGCCACTGACTTCTAAACACACAGTTTCAATAGGGAAGAGACAGTGAGGGAAATGCCAGCCCTCCTACCCTCCAAACCCAGAGAGCAAATCCTTCTGAATAATGAGCTTTATGATTTCAAATGCTCCCACAAAAGACCCACCCTCTTAAGAGGTCAAGACCAGCATCTCCCCACTTCTGAAGAAGTGGGGACTTAATTCCCACACAGGAGCCAACAGCTGTCCTGAATTCCTCCCAGCTGAGCTGAGGCTGCCAGTGCTGGGGTCTGCAGTGCAGACACAGCCCTGACGCTCTGCCCTCCTGGGGGCTTGCCAAGGGCAGGCAGGTGAGCTGGGGAAGGGGAGCGGTTAACCAGGCTTCTCTGCCAGCTTGAACCCGAGTTCCACCTGCCCTGCCCTGCCCTGCCCTGCCCTCCAGCCCAGTTTTCTTCTCTCCCCCGACCTCTCTCAGGGAAGCCAGCTGCGGGCCCAGACCAGTGGGAGGAGGTGAGGGAAGCAGCCCATCTCTCCACTTACTGATGGGGAGCACTATGATGGGGATGTTTTTGGGACGCTTGCTCTCCTTGTCGATGAATTCCCCGGTGACCGTCTTCTCTCTCTCCGTCACACGACAGTTGTATTTCCCGCTATCCTCCTGGCGGAGGTGGTAGATCTTTAGCACAAAGACACTGTCGCTCTCCTTGGCCACTCTGAGCTGTCCCTTGGCCTCCCGGTGGGCGAATTCGCTGTTGAGGATGGGCACAGCATTGGGCCCCATGCTGGCGATGAGCGAGCTGTTGAAGGCCCAGGAGACGGCGAAGTATCGGTCAGGGATGCGCTGAGCCTCCAGGATGCACCTGAACTCCACCGGCTCCCCCGCGGTGTACAGGCGCTTCTCCGTTTCCAGCCGCACGGTGAACTCCTTGTCTGAAACAGCCACAGAACCGCGCGCTCTGGGTGATGAGGACCCCAGCTTCCCAGAGTGCCTCAGCCCAGTCCCACCGCCCGAGCCTTCTTTCCAGTGCCAACTATGGGGACACGCCACCGCACTTGACCTGAGGGACAAAAACCCAGCTTCCACCCAGGTGGTAGGAGACGCCCTTGAACACCACAGAGGAAACTCAAAGCAGCCAGACCCAGATGGCCCGAAGGGCCTGCTGTCTGGCTCAAGACCAGTGGTCTCTGTCTGCAGCTTATCCCGCCCTAGATTTGACCCCCACAAGTCTATAAGGAACTCTACATACCACTGATGTGGCAGAGCACAGAGGTCTAGCCTTGACCTCTGTACCCAGAACTCCACTAAACAACATGACTGCACATGTTCTCAGCAGATACAGCAGGACTTACCTCGCTGGGATGTGTGAGACTGAAATACACAGTCTGACCCCCTAGGTGTTAGGTGCTGACCCCCCCGATCCTAATAAACTGAAAAATGATTACATTGAGGCACATTCTTCACCCCCATGTGAAATTGGAAATAAGACACAGGTAAGACCAACCCTAACAAAACCACATGGGAAAAATAAAAACGAGTGCTTTTCACAGCTCACCCCCTGCCAAACCTTAAGGTGTAGTCAAAGGTACCCATTTGCACTGAAAGCCAGCACACCTCTGAAATGGCCAACGAAGCCTCGCCCCCCTGAAGAGCTCGTGTGTAAAGTGGCAGGAGGGGCCATCGATGAAGAGCGCATCCCCGTGACGTGTCCCGGCCCCCGTGTGCTGGAGCGCGGTGACCATCACTCCTATGGGACAGTTCTCTTGTCTCACAGGCACCCACGGGGTGGGGGGTGTGGGGGGGACAGAGGAGTCAAGGGCTGGAGAAAACGCTCTGTTCTAGCAAACAGCACCAGAGAACCATGGGCAGGGGCAGCTGCAGCTGTGACCACTGCCTGAGTCCCTTCTCCTTCCAGCTCCGCTCATCTAAGGAGGACACTGGGGGCGTCACTGCAAAGGGATGTCCGAGCCCCTGTGGGCTCCAAGCGTGAAGACTGTCCCTCCTCCGGCATGGCCGGGCCTCCCCCCACCTCATGCCCCTGCCCACGTGTGCCCCCATCCCGTGCACTCTGCAAGCAAATGAAAACCCTGTTCCCCCATTCCTCTCCTCCAGCCCCGGCCTGGCTCTGTCCCCTGCTGTCCATCTTTCCCCCTCCCACCTGGGCTGTGTCTTGCCCCATACACCTATTTTTCCCCCCATGTACTAACTTTATTCCCCAACCTGTTGAGCACAAAACACTCCACAACACCAAGGGCTCCTTCCACTATGACAGCTGCTGCCTCAGCTTCCCTTTCCCAGAGACCAGCCCTAAGAGACATGGGCTGACAGAGGCAGGTCTTTCTGTCGCCCTCCGTGGAGATGGGCAACCTGCGAGGGCCATGCTGTCTGCCAGACACCGGCTCTCTGGCCAACCGAAGTACCATCATTTATGTCTCAGCACCAACGGTAAAAACGCACCCCTTCCACATGAATGCCCTGAAGACGTGCAAACAGGTGCCCTGGACCGCAGACCTTTCCATTCCCTGGGCTGGTGGCTCTGGCTTTCTTCTGGCAGCTGAAGACTCTCACTCATGCAGCACCCTCACCACGCCCCCCCACAGTCCTTAGGGTCCCAGGCTGCAGACACGACCTTGACAGTGCCCCAGCCTCCTTTCTGTGTAGCCATCTGCCCTTGCTGATACCCAGGCCGTTAAACCTCCAGGAACTGATCTGCACTTTTTGCAATACCCCCTCACGCCCCAGCTCACTGGAATTGCCTTCTGGCCCTTTTCCCACATTTTGCTGACCTGGCAAATACACCGATGACCCCCCTCTGCCCCCATCACAACCAGTGGGTTTTCCCCAGTGGGCCTCAGCCTCCAGACCCGGCCCCTCCGGTGCCTTCCCTCCTGCTTCTCCTCTTGCCTGACCGTTCGGGTTCCCTCTCTCACAGGGACCTGCTCCCCCGACCACTTTGTCCTGCGGCTGTTCCCCTGGGCCCTCATCACTCCCAAGTTCAAATCTAACCGAGCTCTACGTCCAATGACACGCTGGGCGTTTCACAAACTGAGCGAATGTAAGAAGAGTCTGCTTGCAGGAAGGGCTCCTTGGCTAACATTTACGGGGGGGAAAAAAAAGACAGGAGCTCTGCCACTCATAGGGAAGCAGAGACTCTGGGGCAGGACTTCGCGTCTCCTCCTTGCAGTCCTCGGACTCACCCTGAGTCCCAGCCCAGGCACCCAGACAGTCGAACTCCCCCTCCCACGGTGCCCCCCCCATTCTTTTTGCCTCCAGCACCCACTCGCTGCCTCCCTTCCAGGCCACTGGCACTCACCTAGCCCTGGTCTTATTGGCCCTTCCCTACCTGGCCTCTCGAATTATATCCAACCTGTTCGACCAGCCTCTAGGTGGCCTCCAGGTTTTACTTTTAAACTCAGACTTGACTGGGTAGCCCCCCCCCCCATTGAAACTCTCTGTCCCTCTGCCCCCAAGGGTCTGCAGCAGTGGTTTTCAAACTTTACTTGTAGGGGGACTGCCCTTTTTTTTTTTTATGACATCTGCATTTTATTAAAAAACAAAACAAAACCCCACAGGTTGTCAAGGCACAAGCCATGGTTTGCTGACCTCTGTTACTCTAACAATGGACCATTACCTTTGAGTCCCCTCCTAGAAACCTTTGGGGCCCAGGTTTGCTACGTCTTCATTTGATTTACTGTATTTGTGTTCTCCCAACATGCCCTCATCTTGTCTATACATTAAAACAATTTACGTTGCACTTAGAATTGCCTCTATGAGTACAATGTGCTTACTTCCGACTCACAGCCCACAGCCGACACCCACACCCACGGCAGCAGCGGTAAATGATGTCCGATGAGGTGACAGCCGTCCGGACGCTTGGCCGCAGCTGAAGGACCCTCCTCGCGCACTCGTGCGGCTGTTGGCAGGAGGCCCCAGGCCCTCAGCTCGAGCCTCTCCCCACCCATTGCCCGAGTGTCCTCACGACATGTCACATGTCTGCTGACCTCCTCCAGAGAAGCACTCGAGTGTGTACCAGCGAAAGCCAGGAGTGGACGTGTGAGTGGGGCCGGGCTCTGGTGGAGGGGGCAGAGCAGACCAGAGTCCTGTGCGGGGAGACTGGGGTGTGTGGCTTTGGGGAGAGCGCAAGGGGCAGCCACCGGGACCCTGTGCTGAGCCCTCCCCCGCACCACAGAGGCCATCTTTCTTGGATCGGAGCTTCCTTTCCTCATACAAAATCTTTTGTGCCCAGTATAGAAAGCGCTTGGTTGAATCAAGGGGGATCGAACCAGGGGTGCCCCACGCCCTCCCCCAGCACCCCTGCAGGCACACATGCACACCAACATGCGTGCACACCCACGTGCAATGTCTCAGACCTCTAAGGGGGTTCTAAGCTTCCAAGAACAGCTTGAAAATACTTAGCCCACAGAGTCAAGGCCAAGGTGCACATTACAGTGCACGGGGCCTCCGGCTGCCCTTCCTCTCCCCACGGATCCCTCCCGGCCAGGACTGCACTTCTCCTGCCTGCCACACGTCCAACAGCCTCACGCCTCTCATCCTGCTCCCTGTCAGGCCTCCAGACTCGGCTCAAGGCATCGGCAGTGTTGGATTTCCTGGGTGTGCCGTAGCAACTGCCCCGTCCAGGGGAGCTTGTGCCTGTGGGGGCACTTTCCAGTCACGGCCTTCACGGAGCGCGCCACACACGACCCTAGTGTGGCACTCAGCACACCCCACCCTGCCACCGGCTTTGCCGCCCATGAGCTCCCCCTGAGCAGTGACCACGTGCAAACCGTCTTTGGACCCCCACACTGCTGCCACCACCCCCCAGTGCTGCAGGGGCCCACGAGGTGCTTGCTGGGACGCCCTGTGGGAAGGCTGAGCCGCGGCTGCAGGCTGTGAGCCAGAGCAGCACCGACTGGCACCCGGAGTGAAGCCATCGACTTCTGTTCCATTGAGCTTCTCCTTGGCTGGCTCAGTCTGGAGACGTTCGCTGGGCAAATTAAAAAACACCTAATTCCAAATTGGTAAGATTAAAATAAAGGAGATTAGCTGATGCAATCTACTTTAAAAGCATTAAGACTCAAAATTTGGTCCAGACTTTCGAAGCTCATATTAAAACCATCCAAGGAGGGAAAAGATAAATACGAAATGAAGTATAGGGCCTTCTGCAGATTTCTTAGCACTGGAAGACCCAGAAGCTGCTAAAAGCTCGGGTCCTACAGAGCAGAGATGCTCTCTACTGAGGATCCCAACCCTTCTCCCAAAAGCCCTCACACCCACGATGTCCAGGGAACCACAGCTGCCCCATTGCCCCCTGGAGCTCTGCTGGACAGAAGAGAGACCGTGCAAACTGACCTGGGAAGCGTGCTGGAAACCCAGCCTCCCAGGCCCTGGCCCAGCAGCCTGACTCAGGACTCTGAGCTGGTCAGGCCCCGGAAGCTGCACTGGTAGGTCAGTCGGAAGCCCTGCTCTGGAATGGCGGCAGGACTCCGTACGGAGCGAGGCCACTCGCCACAGCAAACGGGAGAGGGGGGTGAGGCTGCCCAGGGGCTCCACCTGCACCCACCGTGCCCACAACCCACACTGCACTCACCAGAGGTCAGCGAAACGCCGGGAACGGCTCTTTGGGCCACTCACGACACCTCGTTAATGGCACAATGACCACCTCAACCAAAGCCAGGCGACCCCAGGCCCGTGAGAGCCTGCCCGCAGCCCCGCCAAGGCACCAGAAGCAGCTCTTAGCTCTGATGGGGAGCCTGGCAGGACACAAGTGCAGTGTGACAGTGGGGGGCGGGGGGCAGGGGAGTAACAGGAGAAGCAGGGGGAGCTCAGCTCGAGGTGCAGCCATCACCTGCACCCAGCCCTCAGGCAATCCCCGTTCTAGGTCCCTTGAGAAGGACAGGGACGGTGGCACCCAGAGCTCTGGGGCCTGGGCTTGCAACATACCCTGCGACTCCTCCGGGGCCCCCACCGTCAGGCCCCCGAGCATGACATCTCCCTGCCACCGACTTCCCTCCCAGAACTTCTGAAGAACTGGGAACCCGTGACAAAGCACTGGGGAAAGCCTAAAACATCACCAGTGAAATACTATAAAAAATAACCATTTACGCCAAAATGTCTCTAGCTCAGGATGTCATGCCTAGGCTGGAGGGCTCCTAATCTCCAATGTTCTGGAAACAGGATTTGCTACCGGAGGCAGACGATGCCCGCAGAGTGGGCAGGTGTGGGCTAATGGGGGCCCAGTCAGAAGACACAGCAGTTTCTGTGACACCTCCCAACATTTAAAACAAACTTGTAGTTCAAGGAAGGGTAAGACGCCACGTAGGGTAAAGGAGCCGCAGACTCCGTGCAGGTTGCAGAGCCCCCTGCCATCACCAGGGTCAGCCTGGGCAGCTCCTCCCTGAGACTCGCTTGCAGGTAGGTCTCAGGATCCCTGGGGTCGACACCTCCCTCAGCTTCCTCTGGTTGGAGGAGGCCGGACCATCTCCAGCTGCCTGCGAACACCTAGTGCACTTCCAGCGGCCACTAAAGACGGTGTCCGCACACCCTCCCCACGTCGGACCACCCTCACCACCAGGTGGAGAACGAGGACAAGAGAGACTGACCTGTGGGCTGCACGGTGACCACGGTCCCCTCGGACCGCTTTCGGGTCATGGCGAACCACGAGCCGTCGGGATCTTGGATCCACTCGGCGGCCTCGCAGTAGAACTCGCCCTGGTCGGAAGGCTGCAGGTGGAAGACGGTGAGGCGGAAGGTGCTGCTCCCCAGCTTGTCCAGCCGCACCTCCCCCAGGCTCTGCCGCTGGGCGTACTCGCTGCTGGAGTGAAGCGTGAAGTCTCGGCTCAGGCCGATGACCTCCACGGGCTTCTCGCTGCCTCTCTGCCGGAGCCAGGCCACGGACAGGTGGCTGTGCTGGAACGTCTCGGTGGCCGCCTCGCACGTGAGCTCCAGAGGGTCCTGCTCCACTTTGTGCAGGGTCTGGGGCATGGCGGCGGCCTGCAGGGAGTCCGGGATCACTGCAACACAGACACACGCACGGTCACGATGCAGCCGCAGAGTCTGCGCAGTCCCGGGACAGACCGGAAGCTGTCCTACTGTGGGCGCATCGGGAGACTGCTGGGGAAAGGGCAGGCACAGGAAAAGAGGAAGACCAAGCACGAGATGGACGGACTCGTAAAAGAAGCCACAGGCCTGAGTCTACAGGAGCTGAGCCGGGCTGTGGCAGACAGGACGCCGCGGGCGTCACTCACCCACGGGGCTGTCAGGAGTCGGAGCCGACCCCACACAGCCTTCCACCGCTGGTGCGAGGCTGCGGGTGACCCCCGGAAACTGCACAGGAACGGCAGTTGCCCATTTGGCCTGCGACTGCAGGTTTTGGGCAATTCCTCCTACCTGCCTGGGTATTTTATTAACACTCAGACAAAAGGTGGGTTGTATTTCATTGTACCTAATAAGTGAACTCCCTGATAGTTCTTTGTTAAAAGCATTTTCTTTTAGGTGAAATTGGGTCTTATTGCTCATTCCGGTATTGCTTCAAGATCCTGAAATTGGCTTCTGAAAGACCTTCGGATGGAAATCATTCCTGGAACATGGGGAGTTTTATGTTTCTATATGATTTCATCTTTTCCTCCCTTCCAGCCACCTCTCCACATCCCCTGCCCACTGACTTCAGCAATGCATTGCACCGAGAGGCTATAAAAAAAAACAACCCACAAAACATGTGGAGGGGAAGGGATATAAGGGGGATAAATGGTCATGGAAAAAAAGGCACAATAAAAATAAATAAGTACAGCCCTGGCTGGTGTAGCTCAGTGGATTGAGCATGGGCCTGCAAAGCAAAGGGTTGCCAGTTTGATTCCCAGTCAGGGCACATGCCTGGGTTGCAGGCCAGGTCCCCAGTAGGGGACACATGAAAGGCAACCACACATTGATGTTTCTCTCCCTCTCTTTATCCCCTCCCTTCCCTTCTCTCTAAAAATAAATAAAATATTTCTAAGAATAAATAAGTATATAGCAAATACATATATTAATTAATTAATTAATTTGGTAGCAAGAAGCATCATCATCACTTTTTCACAGGTTCAATTTCTGTATCATTCACGTGACCCCAGAAGGAAGCCCCAATATGGGGGTGACTCGGGGACGTGAAGAGTCCCCTGCGGCCCCTCGGTCAGAATTTTCCCCTGGGGACGCGACACCCCACCCCCGACTGATGAGGACACCCCGGTCACAGCCAGTGTGTGTTTTCTTGCTGCACCCATCTCAGATGGGGTGCAGGCCTCCTGTTGGGGGTTCAGACTTGGCAGAGAAAAGAGAAGTCACCGAGGAAGCTGGAGGTGGAGGGCGTGGGCGACGGCAGTGATCGCCAACGGGAAGGGTCACCGAGTCCAGTTTCTCCGTCACAATCAAGCCTGGACATTACGACCTGGGCAGCCTAAGAGAAAGACCCCGACAGTGTTGGCCCAGTGAGATCCCACCAACGCTGGGAGTCGCCAGGCCAGCCGGGGCACACGCCACATTCACGGGCCGGGACCTCCGGACGCCCAGTGTGGACGGGGACGGCGGCTGCGTCCGCTTCCTGATTCGGCGACGCCGGGCGCCTCAGAGCCCGTCCAAAGGCCCATTTCCCAGACGCGCCGCCTCTGTCCCAGCGGGCAGCTCACACGCGGTCATCCCCCGTCATTTCTTCAGATCGCCGGCCACACACGTCCTTGCCCTACACTTTCATATCCCCTTTCCCCCGCGAGCGGCCGGTTAGCCTTCTCCGGAATACGCAACATCTGTTTCAGATCCTTTTAAGCTTCAGCCACAACCTTCTATTATTGTGTACAAAGGGACACACACTTGGTATTCACATTACTGGTTGATCTCTAAAATATGTGGGGAGGTTTTGGGGTGTTTTTTTAAAGTCATTTAAAGCTGTACTCTAACAGAAGTAACAGTGTTGCGGACTGAATGTTTATATCCCTCGCAAGGCTCGTTGGTTGAAACCCAATCCCCGGGCCGTGGCATTTGGAGAGGAGGCCCGTGGGAAGCGAGCAGGTCCTCACACGGGGACCTCAGAGGGCTCCCTCATTGCCCGTGTGCCACACGAGGATGCAGTGATAAGTCCGCAACCTGGAAGAGGGGTCCCACCAGAGCAGAGCTGACCAGGCCGGCAGCCAGCGTCCAGACCGTGTGAAGCGAATGCCTGTTGTCTGAGCCGCTCAGGCCACGACAGCCTGGACTGACCGCGACACCCAGGCGGGACACTGACCGCACGGACACGGGCGTCTCCTTACCCACGAGGCTCATCTTGGCGCTGTAGCTCCCGAAGTACTGCTCGTCGGTGTTGGGCGTGTAGCACTCGTACTCCCCCGCGTCCCGGGCCTGGAGGTCGGTGATGTGCAGTAAGGCCGAGTCCCCCTGGACTCTCTCCACGTAGATCTTCCCGCTGCGCACACGCTGCGTGTAGATGGCGTACGGGAAGGAGGAGTCCACGGTGCTGACGATCTGGACCTCGCGCTCGGGGGCCGAGGGCAGGTAGATGGACCACTGGAAGTTCTGCTCGGGAGGCCCCTGGAAGCCACTCACGTTGCACCAGATGGTGACGTGCGAGCCCTCCGTGCGGTACAAGGGCCCTTCCTGCACAGCGACGTGACGCTGAGCTGACACAGCACCTGCAGGGACACAAAAGGTTTGCTTACTGCTCAGACCGGAACGCAGGGCAGGCAGCGGTCCTCAGAGGGCGTGCTATTTTCGTGACACAACCGTCACATAAACAGCTTACTGGCCCTTTCCGAGGCGTCCTGTGATCTATAAATATTAATTAAAACACCCCGTGTGAAGTGCTGTCCCTGACTGGCATACATGGGAATCTGATTGTGCAAGGACGTGGTTCTGCTGCTTATTCAGCAGTTGACCCCTGGGAATGTCATTTAGTCCCTCTCTCTGTCATTTATGTGGCATTTTAGAACTGCTTATTCATGCTGTTTATGAGGGTTTTTACTAAAACGAGCAGGAAAAGTTGAATCCTTGCCACACATTCAGAGAGAAGCGAACAAGGCAACCTTCCTGCAGTCGGGCTGAAATGAAACCCTCCCTTCTGAGTCACAGGGTTGGGGGGCAGGATGGGGCCCTTTCTTCAGTGCTGCCCCCTTTACTCTCAGAAGCTGACTCCCAGCATGCCCCACGGGGGAGTGGTCCTTACTTCTTCCCCCTGCCGTGGACAAGGCAGGTGCTGCAGCCCAGATGCCCACATTGACCGCAGAGGGAACCAGGCGGGAAGATGGGCGACAAGAAAGTGAGGCTGCCCTCGAGATCGCAGCTCCGGTTCGCCCACCGGCCCTGCCTTCCAGCTTCCCCAGGGTGACCTCTGCCCAACTTCCTCATGTTCTTCTGCACCCAGTTTCCCGGCAGACTGGGGATGGGAAGGCAGGTGGGTTTCATTTCCCATCCCTGCCAGCACAACTCTGATTCTGCCTGAGCCCACGAGAAGGTGGGAGGGGACAGCCTGTTGGCCTCGCCCTGGGCAGCAGCTGGGCACGGCAGTGTGGAGAAATGGCAGGCCAGATCTGGACGCAGTGATGCTGGGAATTGGAACTGGCTGTGTCCTCCTGGACAGGATGCTTTCCCCTGGGGACCTCGGTCTCCTCATCTCTGAAGTGATTTCTAAGAAGGCACTGCAGCAGACTAGCAAGTGTTCCAATACTGGCTCTGTCCCTCACTAGCTGTGACCTTGGATAAGTCACTTCATCTCTCTGAGCCTCAGTTTCCTCATCTGCAAGATGTGGATACTAATGTGTACCTCGGAGTCATCGAAGAGACTAAGATACAGTCCATAAAGCCCCCAGCACAGGGCCTAGCCCATAAATGTCCTCAGTGAAGAGCTGAGATCCCTTCTGGCTGGAACATTCTGTACCTCAGGATTCACAGAGCACAGGATTTGGCCAGTAGTCCCTTGACAATGACACCCTCTCTGGGCCACCCACGGCTGCAGCCCACTCCCCTCCCAAACGGAAGCACAGCCTGCAGCCAACCTGGTGTAAACCTAGCTTAGTTGGATCCAGCCTGTGAGCAGCCCGGGGGACTCCAGTCCAGTGGGCTCAGCTCTCAGCCCCACCCCGCCCCCATGCTCCAAGCACAATGATCTAATATGTAAAATCCCAGACTTGCAAACAGACCCTACGAAGAAAGGCTTGTGGCTTGTAAACTCTTAACATGCACAGAACCTCGTCTCCCAGACAAAACCTTCCACTGAACCCCAACTCAACTCCAGCAGTAGAAACGGAGAAACTGAAAACCTGGGGTGGGGGGGCGACACATCAGCAGAACCAAGTGGCATGGGGACTCACTTGACACATTCTGCTACAGCCTTCATTTCTCTATTGAAGCCATCGAGAAGGCAGCTCATTCGCTATTTTCAGTATGCTAAACTTGGCTGTGTAACGTTTTGACTGCACACTCCTCCCATGATGATTTAAAAAACTTACATAGTGATTTTGAACAAATGTTTGCAGTACTCCAGGACCACAGAAACTCTGAAAACAATGTAACCACATCAATAACATTCAGGTCTCCATGCCTCCCAGGGCTCCACCCCCGGGCCCGGGCAGCCACAGACCCTGCCCACCGCTGCTAAGAAGGCTGGAGGCAGGCCAGGCCCAGAGAGCGTTGCCCTTTACAGAACGACTTCCCAGCCTTGGGCCCAGACTGCAGTCTGCTGGGGAGCTTTAGGATGGAACACTGCGTGGACCCTCCGGATGTGCCTGGCCTGGCGTGAGCTGGGCATTGGGATTTTCAACAACTCTAACACCTAGCAGGGCCAATGCCTTTCGGCAACTGTGCCTGGCCAGTGCCAGCTGGGCACCCAAATTGAAGAACCTATGCTAATGTAAGGCTCTCAGCAGCTTTAAGCTCTTCCCTTCTGCAAGGAATCTCCATCGATTTGGATCAAAAAAGTTTCTTTCTCTTCTAGTGGAGGGGCAGAAGAACACAGGCCCCGCAGATGCAGGCCCTGCGGACGCTGACTACTGTGACGCAGAACACCCAGACAGCTCGCCCAGCCTGCACTCTATTTGCAGAGCTCACAAAGGCACCTGATCCCTGCATCTGGCACATTACCCCCCTGAAAGGTAAACAGTGTCAAGTGGCCTGAATGAGCCAGGGGCCATCAGGGTCAAAACAACTTGTCCAAGCCGGAAGCCGGTTATACACAGCCCTGACAAATAAATAAATACTGGAGTGTACTTCAACCACACACACTCGCCTGTACCTGCTAATCAAATATCTCCTTCAGTTCCTTCCCTGGAAATAATGCCTTTCTTAGGAAGTGGACCTTATGATGGAGATAAAGATAAATTTTTTCTTCTCAGCAGCTTGATGCCCCTTCCACACCCCATGCTGCCCATGTGCTTCTCCTGGCACCGGCCCCGCTGGGCAGCTCTCGTCCTCCTGACGCTGCTGCCTTCCCACGTGCCAGCTCGGGGCCCTGACCCCGCCGCCCTCCGACCCCGCCGCCCCTCCCGTCTGCCCGCTCAGCTTCGAGTAGAAGGCTCCTCTGGGCTGGGATCACCGTTTTTTTTAAATAATAATTTTTACTTTTGACAGGCTTGTGCTGTTTGAAATACTTTGCAGTAAACAAATATCACTTATGCAATTCAAAAAGTCGAAGTTATTATATATAACTGTAGGAAAAGGGCTGGACACAAATGGCAGGAGAAGCGTGGAAGATAAAAACAGGAACAAAAACAAGGGCAACAAATAAAAAATAGTAATGAATATGGTAGATACTAATCCAACTATATCGGTATCTTTTGGTCAGTGGTCTAGAGCACAGTGGCAAATGCAAGGCCTGCGGGCCCAGTCCGGCCCTCCACCTCGTCTCTCCCCGGCGGCAGCGCCGAGCTCTCACTTAACTGTTGAGGAGCAGTCACATGTATCCAGTCCTAACATTCCATTCTGCCCTTTGAAGGCAACCACAAGGCTGATGCGGCCCTGAGTCTGACACCCCTGGATGCACTGATTAGAAGACAGACATTGTCAGAGTGGAGCAAACAACACAAGCCACTGTATCTTGTCTACCAGAAACTTTAAATATAAAGACACACATAGATTATAAAGAAATGGGTGAAGAAAAATATACCACCGTAACATTAATCAAAAGAGAGCAGGAGTAGCCAGATTTATTTCAGACAGAGCAGACTTCAAAGTAAGGAGCGTTACCAGGGATGAAGAAGGACGTCATGTAATGATAAAGGAGTCAGTTCTCCAAAAAGACGTAACAATTCTCAATGTGTATGCACCTCACGAAGCAAACCACACGACGCAAAACCAGACAGAAGCGAGGGGAGAAGCAGATGAATCCACTCTCCTAGTTGGTGACTTCGACACCCCTCTACCAGAAATGGACCGCTCCGCCAGGCAGGAACTTGGGGAGGACACGGGGGAACTCAGCAGCACCATTGACCGAGTGGATACAATACGCGCCTACGGAACCACTGCGTCCCACAGCAACGGAACACATGTCCTTCTCAACCCTGACCCTGGTCTGGGCCGTGAAACACGCCTTAACAGATTGAACAGATTAAAAATTGTACACTGTCCAGACCAAACTGGAACTGACCTAGAAATACATTACAGATTTACCTGGAAAATCCCCAAATACTTGGAGTTTAAACAACACTCTTCTAAATAACATGGGGGTCACAGAAGAAATCTCTACAGAAATTTTAAAATGTGCTGAACTAAACGGAAACTACAATACGACACATCAAAGTTGCTATGTGCAGGGAAATGAGTGCTTCGAGGGAAAACGATGGCATTGAATGTGTATATTAGAAGAAAGACCTCAAATCGATATTCTAAAGTTCCACCTTAGGAAGCTAAAAGGAAGACCAAAGTAAATCCAAAGCAAGCAGAATAAATGGTAAGAATTAGGGCAGAAATCAATGAAATTGTATATAGGAAATCAATAGAGAAAACCAGGAGCACCAAAGTCTGGTTCTTTGAAAAGATCAACAAAATCAGTAAGACTCTATGGTGGCTAATTAAGAAAAAAGAGAGGGGATGCCAGTTATAAGTGTAGAAAACAAAGGAGAGGAAATCACCACAGATGACGTGGAAATTAAAAGGATAACAAAGGAATGAATAACTCTATGACCACAAATTTGATAACTGAAATGAAAAAGATCAATTTCTTGAAAGACACCATCTGCAAAAACTTATCCAAAGAGATGATCTGATTAGGTCCATATCTATTAAAGAAATTGAATCAATAATAACCTTCCAAATCAGAAATCACCAGGCCCAGATGGGGTCACTGGTGAATTCTACTAAATATATAAGTTAGGACTTCTGCCAAGATGGAGGTATAGGTGGATGTGCCGTGCCTTCTCACACAACCAAGTTTAGAGACAACTAAATATTAGCAACAGAAAACACAGCCAGAACACGGAAAATTGAACTTTTCGGAAGTCCGTTAACAACAAATTCTTCAGTCTGACCGGTAAGGGGCGAAACCAGCGGCTGGTGAAGCAGGATTGCACAGGTCTCGGTCAGCCGGACTCAGGCGCGGAATCCAGACGCGCAGAATCCAGGCGCAGGGTTGGACCTAGTGAGCGACCACGGGGGAGACAGCGGGGGAGCGGTGCTGCGTGTTGACTGTGGTCGCGCATTTGTG